TAAGTCAAAGTCCGTAAAAGAAACTCTTCGATTCATTGAATTATTTCTTCATCGAGCACACGTGGCATAAATACATTAGTTAGTTAGTGCAATGATAAACGGCGAGTCATTAGATCATGATTAAAAAAAAAAAAAAAAAAAAAAAAAAAAAAAAAAAAGAAAAACAGAAAGAAGGAAAACAAATTTACACATATACGCCCACGTACTTCTTACGTATTTATGTACGTATATGTATGCATATGTATACTACGTATAAATAAATAAATATATATATATATATATGTGCATACGCTTGTGCAGTACAACACGAATGTTAATAAGTACTTGATAGTATTACAGTAGCAATTGGCTTGGTGCTTCACAAAGTGCGAGCTTACACGATATATACGCATTAAAGACTAGTAATGCGAAGGTGCTTTTAGCGGTGGTGCTTTCACTCGTGAGTCGACTATATAAATTCATGTGCGCTAGTCGTGTGTGCCATTATGCCCCGATGCCGAGTCTACGCATTCGTCGTTCGGGAAAAAAGGCCATGATAAGGATGTGTGCGCGTGTGCGTGTGTGTGCGCGTGTGCGTGCGCGTGTGCGTGTGCGTGTGCGCGCGCGTGCGTGTATATCGGATTAGCCTTATGCAGGGAAGAAGAGAGACAGCGGAGATGTATTTCGTTACATAGAAATGCAGGTGCGCGCCTCGTTCGACATTTTACCTCCCCGTTAAATTCATTATTTCGTCAAAGTGAGTGATGCGCGCGTATTGTTAGGCGCTTAGAGTTAACGTGGAACGGATTTTGAAAACTTTTCCTTTAATGGAAGAAAGCGTATTAAAGTTTTTGAAAGTCCTCGTTAGCTTATTCCTTGAAGATTGAGCCACGAGCGATGCTCATGAATTCTAAATTAACCGAGGCGTGGGGATTGGAGGTGGGCGCTCAGCTCGAATCTGCTAATAATATTTTGCTTTGATTTCCGCCAAAGTTGAATTAGCTTATGTGTGTACGGGGCTAATAGATTACGAGCGTGCAATTATTAAATGCCTTGCTGGTTTCAATTGCAATTTTAAATAATGGTAAGGCGAGATTTCGCATGGAAGCTTCCCGGAGTGAAATTTCGTTGGGGGCTGATAATTCATAATTCATCGCTTGTATATGGTTTCGCTCCCTAATAATCCTACATTAAACTTTGTAATTATCTTAATTATGAAAACGGCCATTGGATAGCGTCATTATAAAAGAGCTTAAGCGGGCGCTCGAATATCGAATTTGAAATTAATGGCAACTTTTGAGTCTATCAGCAAGAAAATACCTTCGATATAGGCAACTTTTAATTTACACTAAGAGCAGGCAAATGTGCAATTTTTTATATTACGGATTAAAAATATTATTTTCAATTTAATTAAAATTCGTACACGTAAGCCACAATGTTTTAACAAATTGAAAAATAAATTGCTTTCGCCTTTTAATTCTTATAAAGTTATTTGATTGTTTGTTTGCTTGTTTGTTTGTTTGTTTGGTTATCCCCCTTGAAAAATCCATGTAATACTGTAATGTATGATTAGCTTAGCGAGTCGAAGGATAGATTATTATTTATTTCGTGAAGTGTGGCGTAGCTGCGGTGGTGGTAATAGTCGATGGTAATTACGAAGAGTCTTAAAGCAAGGTAAGACGCGATGTTGGGATATGATTTAAGCGTAGACTCGGTAGAGCTTTGGCAATAACAGTTCGCCGGGAGGATTAATAGAAATTCTTAGGATAAAAAGGAGTTAAGGACGACATTTTAATTTATCCGTAAATATTGGATAATGGTGGACCGATGGATATAATTAAACAAACAAATTAAGCATGCTCTAAACATGTGCAAACGATAGAAACTAAATCTTAACTAAAGAAGACAGAAGAGAGCCTTATCTGAGGAATATAGAGAAATATATATATATATATATATATATATATATATATACATATATATATATAGTATTATATAGTAAAATATAGTATATATAATAAAAAAAAGAGATCCAAATGCTTTAAGATAATTATGTGTAATATAAATGTGTGTGCGTGTGTGCGTGTGTTGGTGTGGGTGCGTGCGTGTATTTGTGCGTGCGTGTGAAAATTATTTTGTTGACAATTGTGTGTATTGCGTTATGTAAATATAAGCAGATGAAGAATTAAGATATATAATACTTATATACTCGGGCTGTCTTTCTTTCGTTATAAAAAAAAAAAAAAAAAAAAAAAAAAAAATTAACGCTTTCAAAATAAATATTTACGTATTTAATGCGTTTTCATTTCATATATAATATGTATGAATTGGCGAAAGTAAATTTGTTCTTTCCTTCTATCTTTAGCCAAAAGGAAAGAAAAACAAATCATACAAAAATCACCGCCACTTTCTCAATGGAAATTGAAAATTCAAGATAGACAGCCCGTGTTTTAATTTTCTAGTATTTAATTACACGTGGCATAGAAGTGAAACTAAATTATTAGAAAAATATATAGATTGAAAAGAGATGAATTTTACGAAAACCACGTGAATGATAGATTGAGAGAAAAAAAAACATAGATTATATAATGAGTACGTTTATTACGATATAGTTTTGTATAAAGCGTAAGTATTAAGTCTTAATTAGTTGATTTTTATTTTCAAAACCTGGATCATCCTCCTGTAAATGCATTAAAAAAAGGGGAAGAAAAAAATTTGTGAGTTCAATATGAAAATGTTATTGATTAGTAAGTAAGCGTGTAAAAATTATTGCCTTTGTTTATGTAATCATAAATTAGTATATACAATTTTTTGTATTAAAAAGAGAGAGAGTCGACTAATATTAATATTAATATTAATATTATCATTATTATGGTTATTATTTTTATCATCATTATCATCATTATTATCATCATCATCATCATCATCATCATCATCATCATCATCATAATAATAATAATAATCATCATTATCACCATCATCATCATTATCATCATTTTGTTATTATTATGATTATTATTACTAATAATACTACTACTACTCATAATATACATATTTAAATTAGCAATATTTCAATAATATTAACAAGAGAAAATGATTAGTATTAAAAATTTCATTATTAAGTCCTGAAAAATTTGATCAAAAAAATTGCATTTTCATAAATTCGTTAATCGCTGAATTCAAAAAATCATTATCAGCGACCAAAAAATCCGTGGCTGCATGAAACCTGCAAAAAAGTATTCTATTTCTTTTGAAGAAGTCAAAAAATTTCTGGGATATCGATTCATCTTTTCGTCGCAAAAAATTCCAAAAATATAAAATCTTTCCAGCCAAAAGATGTTAGGCCAACGTTTTTTTTTTTGTTTTTTTTTTGTTTGTTTCTTTTTTGTTTATTTATAAATTGAAAAGATACTCGTTTCGAAACATTAAAAGCACAAAAGATCCAGTAGAATAAATTTTAGAAAAAAGAAAAAATATATTGATAATCCAACGCTCAAAAATATTTGCGCTGGTAAAAAATTAAGAAAAAAAAAAGAAATAATTTATTTTACAAATCCTTGACGACGATATTTTTGAAATAGTACTCTGCTTACTCGAGTAAAATGTATTTTTAATCTTCTAATAGGAATCCAGACGACAAATAAATGACGTATAGTACGAAAGAAATGTATATATATTTTTTAAATATAAAAATAAACAAAAAAAAAAAAAAAAAAAAAAAAAAAAAAAAAAAAAAGAAAAAAAAAAAGAAAAGGATATAAAAGGAAGAAAAAGAACATAAAAAATTCCACAAAGTAAATGTAAGAATCGAGACAAAGTGAATTGAACTTAAAGTTAGGAGAGTTTCGGTCATTTGAGTTATGAAGTTTGAAAGGAAGAAAGGTGTTGAATACATGTTTATTCGTAATCTGAAATCGAAAGTGCAGATTTGATTAATAAGTCGTTACAGTTGGTACTGGCTATAACGTTTTTCGCATTTTAAAAATCGCGCATATAACAACAATAATGGGATTTTTGGCGGACTTTTATATTTTTGGCTCTTTTATTACACAAATTATACTCAATATTATTGGATAACGGTGACTCTGTCTCATCTGGAAATCAGAAATTCGGCTGCCCCTTTAAAAAAATATAACGAGACTCACGTCAACTCGAGCGTCAGCAACGTTCGCAAATTCAAAATTTAAAAACCAAACCAATAGCGAAGGCACTTAACCTCGCCTTTATCAATGAAATATTAATGGATTTTCAGTTTGTCGAAAGTTTATTTATTCCCCATTTCGAGAATTAAAGTCGGCGAATAATCTACTATTAGATTAGATTCCATTACCTTTCGAATATCTCACAGTCCGCATAATACGTATGATCGAATTAATGCCTCAACAACATTAAATCTAGCCGGCGCGATCCTCGAAACAGCAGAGACCCGAGACTCGAGAGACTTAATTTGCCAATCGAGGGAGACGCTGCAGTTACATTAATGTCCTGCATGGTAATCCTCGCATTATTCAAGGAATTCCGACGGGACTTATGGATGCAGAATCGTATCGCGCGAGCTGCGAATTCGCTAAAAACGCGCCACCACACTCGCGGGAAATTCCGGAGTCGAGAATTTGCCGATGTCGCGTATAACCGTCTTGGACTCCCAGTTGAGAGCAGAGCCGTCCGAGAAAAGTTGACAGATCACTGGTGCGATCCACGCACAACGAGATAGAGAGATAGAGAGATAGAGATAGATAGAGAGAGAGAGAGAGATAGAGAGAGAGAGAGAGAGAGAGAGAGAGAGAGAGAGAGAGAGAGAGAGAGAGAGATAGAGAGAGAGAGAGAGATAGAGAGAGATAGAGAGAGATAGAGATAGAGAGAGAGAGAGAGTAACATATATATATATATATATATAGAGAGAGAGAGAGAGGGAGTAACAGATAGAGAGACAGATAGATAGATAGATAGATAGATAGATAGATAGAGAGAGAGAGAGATAGAGAGTGAATTGCGCGGCATATAAACTCAGGGATACATACCGTCTTCGTGAGTGCGGACAGTTATGGGGTAACTTGGGGGACCGTCGCCGACGCTCGTCCCCGCTACGACCCATATCCTGTAGTCGGTCCACTTTTTCAGCTCGTCCAACACGAATCTCGTGTTGTTGAGAGTTATAATGGTAGACTCGGAATCCGAGCGTCCGCTCTCGACGTAGTGCAGCTTGTAGTATACGATGTGGCCGTTGGACCGTTCGACCGGAGGCGGCTCCCACTTGACCAGAATGGAGGTCGGGCTGCTCGGGTGGCCGCTCACATTGCGAGGCGGGGCACCCGGGACTGTATAACACTCGATTATAGGAGGACATCCGAGGGCTAGGGGGTCGGAGGGGGGATGAAACGAAGGATTGGAAGGATCGAGCGTAAGGGAGATAGATAGATAGTCCTCGAGAGAGAGAGAGAGAGAGATAGAGAGAGGGGGGGGGCCCAAAGCGAGGTGCTCAAGTGGGAGAACTTAAAGTATAACCAGCCTCGGTAAATATTTACCGTCGAGCCTTGGAGCGCGGGCACGTGAGTTTTCGTTTTTGCCAATCGAGCTGATCCGTCCAAATGAATCTCATTGAACTTTTACGAGGCTGATGGGGATCTTGGTTGGCGTTCGCGAGCTTCGCTTCATTTTAAAATGATTTATCGGTTGTATCAAACAGTAGGCTATTTGCTTTTAATAACTTTAATCGCTTCACTCGCCCTCGCGATAATACTCGTTTATATTACGATAGACGCGACTAGTTGAAATATATGTAAATTAATGTGAGTGAATTATTTTTGTTATACTGCTCAGTCGGCGAAAGTTCGTATTTACATAAATATCCCATGCCTTTTAGACTTTGTCGATTATTTTTGCCGCTCAACGATTTTCATTAGATATTAGTCGGAAGATTGTATATCCTTCGAGCTGTATATATTTATATATATATATTTTATATTAAAATCGGAAAAATCGACTAACTTTTCAATTACCTTCACGACGAACATTAGCTACTTTTACCACTATTTATTACATCGAGTGTTAATTCATCGGGAGTGATGGCATTATATGATTTATGGATATGGCAAATTGAAACAAATATCTAATATAAAGTTTTAATCGCGACACGATTAAGCAAGAGGAAAAATTAAAAATAATATTAAGATATCTGCATTGAAGTGAGTTTTTCAGTTTTCCGTGTCCGAGTGGCGTTTAATGATGAAGATGGACGAATGTTTACAGGACGCGCTTGTCTTTATATTTAAAATTGTAAATATTTCTGCACGTTCGAATCGAACCTCGAGCAAGTTATACTTTAATCCTCCAAACAATAAAAAAAAAAAAAAGAACGACGGTAAGCCATAAGTCGGTATGATGCTCGTTAACACTTGCTCATTAGTTTGAAGTCTTGACGAGGAATCAATAGTTTTACGGCTTATCGCTAAAGAAATTTTGACGAAAATAATCATTCAATGAAAAATCTGAGACTAAGCGAGAACGAGAGAGAGAGAGAGAGAGAGAGAGAGAGAGAGAGAAAGAGAGAGAATCAGAGGGCGGGAGGGAGGGAGAGGTGGTCGATTGGTTAGAGAGGTAGATAAATAGTTTGATAGGCGAGGTTGGTAGTTATATAGACAGATATATAGTTAGATAAATAGATAGAGATAAGGTATAAAAAGAACTAAAATAGTTTATTTAAAAAAATAGAAGAAAGAGTAAGGTTCTTTTTATTAATTTAAATAAGAGGTGCCCAAAATGCACACACACACATATAGATATTGATGCAGTGCTTGGTGCAATTTTGATATGTATAGTATGTTGGTATGTATAAATATATATATAAATATATATATAATAAAGTGGCATCCAAAAACGGCTTTGTCGTTTGCAAAAGCATGCAGTCATTCTCACTCTCCCACACGTTAGAAAGAAAGGCCACAGATTGTGCTCTGGTGGACTCTTCTGTAAAGAGACTCTCACGCAACTGATAAAGATCAAGTCTTATCGTCGGTACCTTGCCTTGGTCAGCGTCCCGCCCCAAATACCCCCCACCCCCACCTCCCTATCCCCTTACCCCCTCAACGCCCGCCCCACCCACCCGCGCCATCGTGACCCGCCCGCAAAGAGGTACACGTAGCAAGGTACTATTGCATAGCGGAGTACTCAATAACTACGTTATTACGTGTGTGGAGTTGGATTATAGCAGAAGCAGTGGTGGAGCGACCTCGTGGCCATCGAGGCTCATTGTCCTACCTGCAGTGGCCGGCGGGTGACCGGGACCCCCGCCCACGGGGATCGGGGACGCCCGCCCTGGCCTCTCGGCCGGCTTTTGCTTACCGTACTGCTTCGTGCGAACCGGAAGTGGTATGGTTGTCGTGCCCTCGCCCCGCTGGCCTCGCGCTGCCAGCCACACGTAGTACAGCGTATTCGGGTAGAGGTTCGTCAGAGTGTAGTTCTCCGTCACCGGGATCTTGCGGTGGTGCATCTCCTGCGAAGTGGAGCACGACATTGTTTATTCAATTACTGTTACGACATTGCAATTGCGTTCGATTGGCGCAAGAGGCACGGTCGGCCCTGGTCCGATTGGTTCTCGTGGAAGGCGACTCGGTTGGGTTTGAGGCGCGCCTCAAGTCCACCTTACTCCGGGATAATACTCGTAGGTCGGGGATCACGAATACGCATTCATATCGCGGAGTTTCTAAATGTATTTTTTATTTTTTATTTTTTTTTTCACTAATAGCTGTATTGGCAGTGGTAATTCCCAGTACTAAGTTTTTTTAAATCTTAACGCGTTCGCTGTGTGATTCCTATCATATCGGACACAGGCTCTTTTCTCCCACCGGCGCGCACCTTTCTAAATGAATATAGAAATGAAATTACGCTCGCGCTCTCATTTCCCGGTGATCGTATGATATTTCACTCGAATGCAATCATAAGGCACTTCCGAGGAGTTAAAAAAAGTTAAAAAATTTCCGTTCTCAGAAAAACCGATGAAAGACGCCGACTCGGTTTTTTTGTTTTCGTTTTTTTTTTGTTTGTTTGTTTGTAATGTTAAAGCGAGCGGAATGTTGTATTCTTAATTTATTTATAATACGAGCATGATGTTGATATCGTTAAGTCGAGCTAAATTTATTTTTGAAGGGCTAATATTGCCAAACGGCGAGGAATTCCGTTACGTCCGAGTTATCACGGGACTTTATTCGTCTCCGATGTCATGCACCCGCTGCTCGCGATATCCCTAAGACTAACGATCGAGGAGGAGGAGGAGGAGGAGGAGGAGGAGGAGGAGGAGGAGGAGCAGGAGGTTGAGGATGAGGCACCCAGAGGTTGACGCACCTTCGCGTAAGTGTCGTTCCAATAGAGCTCGTAGCTGAGAATATTCTCGGCGCTGTGGTCGGGCTTGTTCCACTTGAGTGTGACCTTCGTCTCGCCGATGTCGACGGCGGTGAGCATCTGGGGGTGGCTCGGCACACCCTGCTGCGTCTTTATCTGGACGGGGGCACTGAGGGGCCCGGGGCCGACGCTCGTCAGCGCCTGCACGTGGATTGTGTAGATCGCGTGGGAGGTGAGGTCGGAGATCGTCGTCAGCTGGTTGTTATCGACGGTCTGGAACTGCCAGCTGGACATCGGCTGGCCCGGATTCGTCGGGTAGTATACCTTGTAGCCCTGGTTTATTGTGGAGGCGGGACGTAAGAAAAGCTGATTAGTCGTGGAGCGGCTTATTACTCGTTGGCGAAATCGCTCATATCGCGTGCTCGCGACATTTATCGCCAATGACGTATCGCGCTCTTCGGCAAATGTTGCTTTTTAATTTTCTAAAGTTGTTTGTGCTTGAGCACTCCGAGCCGATGTAACGAGGTCGTAATTTAACGTGCTTATGAATAAATTTAGCGTGCGAGCGTTATATAATGTTACAGTATGTTGCGGTTCGGGTTTGTAAAGGCGCGGAATCTACCCGACACTTCAAGACGCGCGTTTACAAGTTTGTGCAAATGTAAATTAGGTTGTGAAAATAGTGGCCGATTAATTAGACCGAGGAGCCCTGATGGGTCTAGTGATTAAAGGTACGCTTTGAAAATTAAAAGCGACGAAAGAAAATAATTAAAGCTATTCTTAATTATTTTGTTGGGCAAACGTTGAACCGCGCCCTCGGATTAATGAAAAATACACATAATTTTAGAATGCATTGAAATTACAATATTGGCTCGCGCGAGCTTGCAAATTACGGTTATTAATTTCATTTGCAAAACTTTCTTCGAGCATATCTTTTCGTTTTTGCTTCTGTTTTGTCTTTTTAATTATGGCCAAGACCGTACTTGCGATACCGAAATTTTATATACAACTTGTATGCAGTGGTTATTATTTTGTAAACTAAATCTCTTGAAAATAGCTGCAAAGCGCTCGCGCTTTATAATCTCGTGGATTCATTGGAAATTGCGGCTTCGGTTTTATTAAAATTAAGGATTAACATATTTAAAACTCTTCCTCCGAGTTTTTATAAAGCGCTCGTTACGGAATTAACGTCGAAAAGTTATACGAGTACTGGTCGTGGGAGTAAATCTTGTAACTTTCAGACATTAGAAATCAAAGGAAGAGAGAGAGAGAGAGAGAGAGAGAGAGAGAGAGAGAGAGATGTGTAAGTGTGTGTGCGCGCGTGTGTGTCTGTGTCCCCCCTTCTCAATGAAAATAAGCGTCCTTCGCCTTCGAGTTGGCAAAATTAATTAATTTGGATTAAGGTGGATAGTGAATTCGACATCAATGAATCGATCGAATGAACGAAAGAAAAAAATCATTATCGTCGCTATGTCGACGTGAGCTGCACGAGCGATAACTTGAAGTAGCCCATCGTTTTTTAATGATCTAGGAATCGTTGGATAATAATCGATTAACAGTACTCACCGTAACCTGACCGTTTGGAGTCTCTGGCTCGTCCCATTGTATAACCATTGTGCTCGAGCTTAACGCTCGAACCTGAACACGACGAGGCGCGCTACCTGGTCCTGTAAACAAAAAGAAACGGCAATTGTTTAGTCGGCTCCCTCGATTACGTCAAAACGATCATTCTTACTAATACTGACTGATCTAATGCAAAATTTAATATGGTTAATAAGATGGCAATACAGTTAGTTTAACTAAAAAGTACTATTACTGTTAAGAGCAAAACTTAAAAATAAACTCCAAAATTTGGGATACGAAAGTAATGTGATAGGTGAGTTATGCGACAAGGTGAATTAATGAAACTTAAAAATTTGTTGTTGTTGTTGTTGTTGTTGCTGTTGTTGTTTTTTGTTTTTGGTGTTCGATAAAACTACATTGTGCCACACATACACACACCCTCATGCGCGCACGCACACGCTAACACGAGCACGCGCGCACACATACGATTTAATCTAAGATATTGCAAATAGTCTGATAGGAGTTCATTATAAATCGCGGCTCTCGTAATGCCGATTTGAATTATTTCCATTCTACAGGCAAATGCATAATAAAGATTTCAATGATTCGCAAGAGTTTATTAAATTTATTCGTAAAAGAAAATTCTTCCTATCTGACATTATTCTTTGTGTAGTGAACAAAATAAATAAAATCACTACGTCACTCTTAATACGTGATTTTGACTTACTGGTGCCTCCATTTGTTGATTCCGCTATAGAGAAAAGGTCAATTGATTATTTATGATTCACTCGGCTGTAGTGCATTTTAAGTGCTCATGAAAACAAAAACGAACGTGACGTATCTTTATTGCGCTTCTTCGTTTCTATTTGCATGGGCGTAGTAGCATTGTGAGAAGTTTTACATTTTTCATCTCTTTCATCGAAGTGGCTGCCTAAATTTTATTTATAGCCATTTCAATCGAATACAGACAAAGTTGTAACTCGTAAGTGCATCGTTATTTGGCCAAACAATGGACATTAATTTTAAATGCTTTATTATTCAAAATATAATTTACGGCTTATTTATAATGCATAATGCACACAGAAATTATATGCTGGGCTCTTGCGATCCCTACACTTCGTTAATCGACAATGCTAACGACAATAACAAAATGATAATTCAATTAATCGAACAAATCCATTATTTGGCGTTAATATAATTTCATACTTTCACAGTGCGATCGGTTCAATGTGATCTAAGAGTCGAGAAGGAAATGGTATAATTGATACTGTCGGTAATTATTTGGAAAGTTGACGATACGAAAACATATTATTATTATTATTATTATTATTATTATTTTTATTATTATTATTATTATTATTCTTGATTTGCCAAATAGTACACGAGTGCAAATGATAGACAAGACAAGAATCGATAAAAGACAGTATATAACTAGATAGAGTGAAAGAGTGATAGAGAAAAACAGTAAAAGGGGAGAAAAAGTGAAAAAAGTGCTTTTTCTACAAAAATGCTTTTTGTATGTCACTTACATGTATCGAACGGATCCGCGATTGACGGCATGAAAAAAGTACAAAATATTTTCCTCAAAAAACCGTCTCAAAAACATGTATTTATAATTTTCTTGTGCAAAAATACTAACTAGGTGCAAAAATAAAATTCATTTTGTCCTTACGACTCGTTTCAGTTTTCGCGTCGATCGTGAGTAATTTGCAAAGCCGGAGACGACGATGTTTTATAGTATTTTTTTTTCTCTCTTTAACATCGTGTATTAAGCTGTTGCGCATGTCAATTAGCAAATATATTTCGAGTCATAATTACATATTTGACCATTCGATCGAGAATTCAATGGGTAATACAGTTATTAAGATTCATTATAATAAGATAAAAGAGAAGAAAAAATAAATAAATAAACAAGAAATAATATTATCGATAATATCGATATGTAGATTTTATCTCATATTGCGTTCTTATATATTTGTGAAAATTTCTCGCTCTCCCACCGCCCCCCCTCCGTCTCTCGCTAAATTGAAAGAAGAAAATGTCTGTATTAATAATTTTATCACTTTTCCACGTAATTTCAATAATAAAAAAATTCAATTATGGAATTTAGACATTTGATATTCTTATGGAAAATTTATATGACCATTAGGTATCTATGCCTATGAAATTAATGCAGATTAATAATTATGGTTTATATATTTTCACATTTTATATATTTTATATATTTTATTAATTAAATTTTATTAAATAAAATATATTTTATATATTTTATTCATTTTATATATTTTCAGTAATTTTCATCTCTCTACACTGAATTCTCGATTTACTAGTATTGGCTGAAATATGAAAATTTTAAATGTTTCTTTATAAAAAATTAATCATTATAAATATAAATATATCAATTTATGAAAAAATGTTTCGTAGCAATTGCACGTTCGTATGTATGTGGATTAAGAATTTTCGTATTTCCCGAGAATAAATGATGACTCTTTTACCGTTACACATTTAATAAGAAAATGCCGAGAATACATTGAAAAATGATTCAACAATGTAGAAATATTTGCCCCGATTTAATCAATTCGATTAGTTGTATTAAGTCGTGTCTTTGTCGGTCCAATCTCGGCATAATAAAACAGACTTTACGTCTACGTTTTCATTGTCCAAGACCCTTAAAACCGAGGCCACAAAACATTTTTTTTCTTCATGAAAAGTTACTGATGTATATTTATATATATATATATATATATATATATATATATATATATATATATATATATATATATGTATATGTATAGAGAGTCGGGACGATAATACATTAGAATATAAATAGAACAATTAGGCCAATATAGCCAAGAATACTGACTCGTTTCACCGGTGGTGACAAGCACCGGGGTACTTGGTGGTCCGCGTCCAATGTCGTTCACCGCGATGACGAAGAACTCGTATTCGGTATAGGGGCTGAGGTTCCGCACCTGGTAATACATCGTCGTGATCCCCGATATCTCGGCGTAGGCATGATTCGCGTGCTTGGGCTTATGCTGTATGACATAGTAGGCGAGCTCATCCGGACCCTTGTATGACCAGGACAGCTTCACCGAGGTAGCCGTTATCTCGGATACCTGCACGCTCTCGGGTGCGAGTGGCAGAGCTACGGATACGATAAAATTATTGTCCTATGGCAATCGCTGGACTATCATGGGGCTGCTCGGCCTTTGACACATCCTTAGCCATGATTATGGCCTGATGCTTTTACTCGACTCGACTAGACTCGACTCGAGTCGAGAGGTCGAAATGCGATATGATTTTATTCCGCAGAAGGTATCGTGCAGTTTGTGTATTTTAGAGGCAAGTATTCGCTGAACGTAATAATGGAATATTCAAGGCGCACGTATGCGAGGCGGGGAAACGTCTCCCACGGGATAAGAGCACAAAACCGCGTAAATTGTAAAATTGCCGTTTATAGATTTCAGAAAAATGTTTTATCGAAACCCTCTTATCGAAAGAGATGTTGGTGGACAAACGTGACACGCCTACGTTTAGTAAAGATCGCTAATTATCTTTCAATGATCTTTCATTAATATTTTAATTAATGTCATTTTGATGGATTATTATTATTCGCAAGTCGCAAGCGTTAATTCTTTGACATTTACTTACAAAAAATTCATTCGCGATAAAAACATTTTCTAAGCTTACATCTTATCGTTTGCACACTTATTTGTCATGTCTCTTTATTATTTATTAATGTTGTATTTTACTTGTAGCTTTTTGACATACGCTACTCTTAAGTAAACATACGGAGTTCTTTATATAAATAATCGATGTAGCGTTTTAAAAATGTTTCCCGACATTTATTTGATAAAATGTTTTTAATCGATATTCCTCATTGCATGGTAAATATCGATATCTTAATTCAATTTCGTAGTTTAAGGTATTGATTTACAAAGTTGGAATATTAAATTAACGGACAATGCTAGCAGACCTCATAAACCGCGTTCCCAATACATTTATTCATTGAAAAACATCATAATTTGTGCTATTTTTTAATGACATTTGTCACTTTAGTAATTTGCGATATATATATATATATATATATATATATATAATGTAGTTCAAAATTGTGCGACATAACGTTAATGTAAAATTGATGAAATTGCAATATCATAATTATTTCAGTTAATTAACAACAATTTTACCATAATGTAAAGATTAGTAAAAGTTTATGTTGATGAAGCATCAAATTTATTCCATAGACATTTGGCACGAGACAATCTCCAAAAAAACCAATAATTTACATTAAAAAAGATAGACAAATTCTAACATTAAAATTGCTAAAATAAAAGCTACTCGATCAAAACATTATCTATCAATTTCATGTACACGACGTTTTCTCTAACAATTACTTGCCTCTTCTGCACAATCGAAATCCTTTTTTTTCTTATATTAAGCTTAAAATTGTCTTGCATCAAACTTTACAACACCCTAGCCTGCCATTTCAACATGTGCTAAAACAATTTTTATTTACATTTATAACCGCAATAAAAAATAACGAAGGGGAAAATTGTGAAAAAAAGAAGAAAAAAAGCTCAAGAGTGTGGGAGATAATGAAGTTGTGGCACTCACAATGAACCTTTACGAGGGTGGTTGTGTTGATGATCCCCAGCTCGCTCTGGGCGATGCACGTGTAGTTCGCCGACTCTTGGATGTTTTTCAGCTGGAGGACGTTTTTGCCGACGGGAGGCATTTGGTTGTCGGGTGTAAGGTCCGTCGCCGGCTCCTTGCGCCACTTGACGTACGGCATTGGCGAGCCGACGGCGACGCACGTCAGGTTTATCGACGAGCCGAGCATCACTTCGTTCACGGGGTTCGGTGGGATCGAGAAGTGCGGCACTACTCTGCGTACTAGAGAGAAAACGGAAATTTTTCGTCGTTTCAAGAGAGGGAGTTAAAGAATGTTTTTGCCTCTCTCCCCTTCCCCTTCACGCCCCGTACGAGCCACGTCTCGCAGCAGTTTTTAAGGCCCCGACAAATTTTCTTTCTTTTTATATTACCTGCGATGTCATCGAGTTTCGCGGGTTTTCATCGAATTCGCGTTAACGGATTGTCAGTTGGAATGTATAGTCATAAGACTTTAGGAAAATCAATAAAAAAAATATGCCTTTACAATTTCATTTTCGACTTCGAGGAAAAATGCTCATTAATAACGATGAATTTATTTACTTTTAATAAAAGCCCACATTATCCTAAAATAGTTTAAATATTTATGTGATATTTTGCTACTAATATCATCCTCAATCGTGATATCTTTCTTTCCTTTCTATTTTTTTTTTTTTTTTTTTTTTTTTGGTATTTTAACAAAAGTTTTTACCGATTTAAGAGCACGAATATTAAAAACTCTATCATAACGCCCCCCCACCCTATTTCTCACTATTATTATAAATTATAAACCTGAAATCGTTTAAAAAATTTATCGTTTTATTTTTTTTCTTTTTTACACTTCAAATTACAGCTAATAATTTGAAAATAATTGTTTCTTAACTTTAGTTTATTAAGATTTTTCTTTAATTATATTTCTTAACGTACAAAGTTTTATCAATTTTTACAGCGTAGAAAATATTAAAATCATAAACTTATCATTATCATTTTAAATAATTTCGATTTATCATAATTTATTTTCTATTTAGGCAAATTGACAATATTTTCTCTAAAATTAACCCTTAAACTTTCTTAAATTTTATGATTTTTCACAGGGATTTAATAACTATTTAAAAACAAACGAATAATACTATAATTAATATCAATAAATATGCCCTATCAGAATTACCTTTTTTAGGATCTCTGGGATTAACTCGAAAGTATTTACCATAATTAGAGCAAATCTAAGTTACTCCTTTCAATCATATTATTTTACTACAATGGAAAAACACTCTGACGATCTGGTACTTTACATATTCTCAAGAGATGGATGTCCTTGTCTAACTGTATTTATAGTTATATGTTATTTAATCATTTCTTTTACATTTATATCATCGTTTATTACGAGACCAAAAGAGAACTGCAATATCTATTTTCATATTTTGCTGATAAAGTATAATCTTAGTTACGAGTTCATAAATATTAAAATTTAAATTATATATATATATATATATATATATATATATATATAATTTTATTAATATAGGAGATTATTAATATCAAAGAGTTCAAGATAAAAGCAGAATTGTACCAAAAGTTCACAGAATATATTACCAATATTGAATACACGTACGATATTTGTTCAGTATTGATTAAAAATGTAATTATATTAAAATTATAATTATATTGGATAATGGTATATGTTAACAATACCAATGACATTAAAATTTACGTAGAAACATCATATTAAGCAATGAAACTTACAACAAAAAAAGAAATTACTACTGATATATTTTTTGTATTGACTATTTTTTTAAATTTTATTTTGTTAAATGTTATAATAATACTAATAAGGAAAAGTGCGTATAAAAGTACGGAAAAGATTGGTAAAATTTACGAAATAATATTTCTTCATATACTAATTTTTCAGTTTCAATTAATTAACTTTATTATATTCGAAAGTATTTAATAAATTTAATAAATAAATAAAAATATACTAATAATGGTTACAAATGGTAAAAAAGAAAATAAATAATTTTAAATAAAAGGATCAATATTATTATATGTACTCAATGTTTTTTTCTTCTTCTTGAATAAATACAACATTTGCCATTGCAATCAAATTGATATTGTTGAATTTATTTGCTCACCAATTTTCTTAATTTTCTTAAAATTGCAAATACTATACATTTAATTATTTGTCATTTATTCACATGGTTTTGAGACAATGTTGCATATTATATTTTGAACCGTAAAATAATATCTTGATTCAGCGGGGCTATGTTGCGTCCCCTCTCTCTTTTTACAATATCCAACGCTCATGATTGTTGAGAAAGGAAGATTTTTACTTACTTTTAACATACAGGGTCGTTGATTTGGAGTATTCCGTGCCCACGGAGTTACTCGCTACGCACTCGTACTTTCCTTGATCCGATGGATCTGATTCCGTGATCTGTAGCGATCCTGAAAGTATAAAGAAAAAGTTGAAAATACTAAATTAAAAATTGCAAAATAATGAGTTATAGCTTCAAGCATGTAAATAAATGACCATTATTGTTTATAAAGGGTATAAATGTTTGTGTCTTCTCGTCTATCTGGACTTTTCGATTATATTTTGCTTTATATTTTCATAATATTACTTATTATCATGGTCTAAAGGTATTTTACAATCGGTTAGGAAATATAATCTCTAACTTTATTTTGCGCCAAGCATAGTGATGATACTGGGCATAATGCAGAATTTTATACCTCGATAAAGTTTGACTGAGTTACGAGCGTTTGAATTTTTTAGTAAGGTGCAAGTAATATGGGATACTTTAACATGAGTAATATGTGACATAGTAACTTTGGGCTTAAAAATTTGAAAACTTTTAAAATAATACACTAGACTTTCTTACACTTTAATACAAACATACCTAAGCGTAAAACAAAAATTTTATTCGATTGAATTTTCTAAAATAAGAAATTCAAGTTAACATAATTTATTCATTGAGTATCATTTGTATTAATATCAAAGCGAGTAGTTTAAAAGAAAAAAATATTGGCATGTAATTCTATTTTGTGAAATTATTATTTTACTGTTAGTATTTACATTGGTAGAAAAAGTTTGTCTATTTTTACTTTATATTATTTCGAAAAATGCTCATATGCATTTGTATTTTAAAATAATTTTACATTTTGATCGACTTGTGCTTATTAGATTTTATACTTTTGTTTATACTAATTGTTGAAAACTCACACACACACACACACACACACACACACACACACACACACACACACACATCAAACTAAATAATATATATTGGCATTCTAAATTACATATTTGATTTTAATCTTATCGCTCAATTAATTTATTTTAACGTAATTATTTAATTTAAATTACTTAATTTAATTATTTAATACTTTAGTTTTTATTTAATCCGGTTGTTAGGCTTAATTAGTTAAATTACTTAAAATTAGAGTATATTGAATATTAAGGAGTTGAAGTAGCAAAAAGCAGCCTTGATTCGTAGATATTTAAAGTTTTCCTTTTCCGTATCCGTATGGCTTTACTCTTCGCAATTTGAGAAAAATACAAATAAGTTCGAGGTTGGTTTAAATATACGCCGAAAGAAAAATCGAACGTCGCGTTAATCCAGTTTGCTCCTTTCAACCCATTTCCCCCTTATTTTCTCCCCTCGTGAAATTCGCAAAGATTGGTAGACAAGACAGAAGGAGAATTTTTTCCGACCCACCCGCGAGTTAATGGAACGGAAATAAATGCAACGAAAATGTCGCCGCTTCTGTATTAAAAGCGATCGGGGACGACTCCCTCGACGTTTCCATTTATCTCTCCTTTTCTTTCTTTCAGTGTTTTTTCCTTTTATTCTACTGTCGTCTCGTATCGGCCTGTACGAGCAGTAAAAGTGAAATTATCAGCTTTTTAAATGAAAATGGGAAAATGGCCCATCGCTGCTGTAGCTACAGTAAGAAAATATATAATGGAGTGAGCAGATGGCAATGTTTTGTTTCGATCAGTTTAATAAGATTGTTATAGGATGATTTTAACGGGGCATATCATAGCGAACTTTTCATTTCTCGGGCTTCGCCATTTTGTAATATCGTTATATTAATGGCGCGATTTCACGATAATAAGTAGAACAAGGGGAAAGATTGATACTGGATACTGTTTGTCCATTTTGAGAGAGAGAGAGAGAGAGAGAGAGAGAGAGAGAGAGAGAGGAGTACGTCATTACGTGAAATTAACCAAACTGACAATGCGTTGTATGTACGAGAAATTGCTACTTTAAATATAATAATCGATAATATAATAGAAATTATTTATTTATTTATTTATTAATTTTTCTTTTCATCTTCTTTTAGTCGATCAATTCAATTTGTGCATTTATTTCTTTACTTTTTCTTATTCGAACCCCAATTGCTTCGATCGGCCTTTAAGATATTATTATATATCATTTTATAGACGTTAATTTTATTAAACAATAGTCGAATGTAATATATCGAGTATTTCGTTGAATGAAAATTTTAGTCAAGTACAATTTAATAGTACGGTATATTCTTTTCCGGTTGTAAGTACTCGCGAAGATAAGTAAATGAAAAAAGCACCATCAAGGAAATTAATATTCTAATTTAACATTAAAATAATTAGCCCGAGCTGATGGGGGATTGGGATGGGGAAGTAAATAAATATAATCAATCGTTTTCGTTTAAAAATTCATTGTATGTCTTTGAATATTACGCATATGTACAAAGGCTCAGTTCACGCGCTTTATTCAATTTATATACACATAGCTTCGTATGTAAAAGGAACGGACTTTATCTCCATAAGGAGTAAATTATCTTGTAATGAAAATCGAGAAAAATATTCGAAGTATGTAGCAAGAGGGGGGGAGAGAGAGAGAGACAGAGAGAGACAGAGAGAAAGAGAGAAAGAGAGACAGAGAGAGACAGAGAGAAAGAGAGAATGAGAGAAAGAGAGAATGAGAGAAAGAGAGAGAGAGAGAGAGAGAGAGAGAGAGAGCAATCGAATAACGAGAGGCGAAAGGCACGAGGGTTTCCGGGTGATAGCGCGATGAACCGATCCTCTCTCCATTATCTTCACCCTTAACGTCACTCACCCTAACGTTCTCTTGCCGGTGAGGAGTGGGGGTAAGGGGAATTGTAGTCGAATGAGATCGGCTTTAAGAAATGTTGTATATGCAATTGCCTATGGGCTACTTTTTTACTTGTTAAAGCCCGTTTCTCGTTCATTTTTTGATTGTTGGATACAACAATGTACGCTGAATGCGTGCTTTTGCTAGTTTGGCGTAAGGTTTTTTTTTTTTTTTTTTTTTGGGAGAGGAAGGAATATTAATTTCCGGACGGTACTATTACAATGGAAATGCAAGGAAGTGTTTGTTTGAGATTGTTAACGGAAGAATGAATCATAGGAATGCTTAGGTATTAAGAAATTTGTAATTTTACGTAATGTTGGCAAAAATATTTATGGATTCTTGAAAGCACTTTGCCGGGATATTCGGTCGGGACGATGTTAAGGCAGAGAGTGGAATGACAATAATTAATACGACGCAACCCATTGGAAATTGAGAAAATTGTTGTGATTCTTTTAAAATCATTATTGCCCAATTATTTTTATCGCGCTGGTCGGGTAATATTTATCACATTTCTCGAAGTACCAGAATTGTCATAGTTCCGCGATAATTTTAATTATAAAATTTCTGCCCACACATGTCTTCAGATTACACTCACTAGTCGATATTTTGTCATCATTGCAATTAATTCGATCCGAATGGAAATTAATAATCAATGAGTTATTGGATATTTTTTCTCTTTTATAAAACTATTACCAACATTTATAAATATATGAAGAAAGTCTTTAAGATTGATAAATTGATTGATAAAAATCATATCGCCATTGTTTTATGCTTAGCAATTTATTTTCCCCACTCCCTTTCTCGTCGAAATCTTTATCTTATCATTGCTTTTAAATACATATGTATTAAAATGTCGATTAACAAGTCGTACACATTGAAGGGGCATCCGTTCCTGCGATAAACGCGATGAACGTCGCATTCGCAAAAACTTTCGCCTAGCGCCTAGAACAAATCCATCTTCGCATAAATACGAGATCGCGGAATATCGTTTGGATTTGGCGCATCATGTTGCCCTCGTACATTTCGCCGCAAGATCCTACGTCATAGATGACCGAGGAAATAATCTCAGGTCTTGGGTGCTATGTCGTACACGCGAGGAAATGCACATTCCGGGCGTCTCTGGGCTGAATCGGCCCCAGGAGTTTTGCCAGCGTCCGTTACGAAAGCTCTTTATCACTGGACGCTATCGGTCCCGATCGGAATACGTAATCGCGAGTCTTCGTCAAGTCAGAGACTCGTGGAAGGTTTGCTCGTCCGGCGTTGGCGATGAGCCGGCCCCCGAGCTAATTAAATTTTCTAATCCCGGCGCTATATGATTATTATCTCGTAGCGGTTAGAGCGACTAATGGGCGATTACGGGCTGCGTGTAAAATAAATAAAATTAACAAAGTCTAATTATTTATGCGACACGTCGACCACTCGAGTTACTGATTATACCCAATGCGTACCTACGTTCTTACGTAGGCGTATAATTAATATTCTATTAATTATTAATTTGCCGCTCGCTCCACACTATTTCTCGAGTAAAAAAATTTTTTAATTAATGCTAATACAAAGATTTGAATATTTCAGTGGAGAAAATTTACATTATCGCGAATAAAAAGGAGGCTGCTCGCATCGAACCAAACGAGACTGAAAATTTACGTCGTAAAATATGTCCACTTTTAATTACGCGACGATAATACACATTGCCAGGATGCGTACGGGCAACACTTGCCTACGGCACTTCTCCTACGAGCTTTCTAATTCCTGTTGAAGAGGCGTCGCGTAACGAATTAGCCAAGAGCCTCCGGGAAAAATGGAATTATTAAAACGAATAGAGGCAGGAGGAACACACGAGTCATCGTCGCGCGTATCGACTCATAAATAATTGATAAAAGAGGCGAGAACGAAGAGAGACAGAAATGTTTTAGCGGGCAGGTCCTCGTGGTAGCCATTGTGTAAGCACGATTCATAAATTATTAATAAGCGGCACGCGAGCGACGCCGACGACGGCTCGATGGATAATCGCGTACCTTGCCGTGTATCACGCGGGTTTGTGTGCAGGTTATGCGATAAAGACACAATGGACGGCCCAGGTCCTTAGAGCGGACGGACGAGATTAGGTGGTAGGGGGGGGTGGTGGTGGTGGTGTTGATGATGGTGAGAGTGAGAGTCAGTGAGTGGGTGGAGTGGGAGGTGGGAGGGAGGCGTTACAATGGGATGACACCCTACTTTGAAATGTAGGATGTTCGGGGATTGGGTGGGAGCATCTTCGTTTATTTGCCATTTTCATTAGCTGAACTGTCTATATCCCTTTTGCAATTT